TTTCTCTCCTTTCCATTATGCACCCTTTGGCTCTTGGTCACCCTCTGTAAGTTCAAACACCTTCCCATGCGCGCCTCCATTCGCCTTGATATGCGAGTCAGTGCCTTGTTGTGCGGGCCTGCCCATAGAGCTATTAAGCAACTAGAATGCTGACAAGTTGGCGAAGCAATGCAGAGTTATGTATGTGTACCATCCAATATGGCCGTCGTAGTAAAGCGCCACCTTCAGGCTTAGTATACATATTATTAACATAAATAGCCCTCTGACTGGTTATTATTTCATTAATGATACTGAGTAATAATAACAATTTTTTAAACTGTCGTAGTTAAAACGAGCATCTTTTTAAAAAATATAGTACCAAGGAATGAAAATTAAAATCGTGTACACCCATATACCGCAACGCTCGATTTTCAAACATACGTGTAACTAGCCGTATTGAACTTTCTGAGTAAATTGAGGGCGCAATTGCAAATGATGGTGCTCAGGCAAAATTTGATTGGCTAAATCTATGGCAGCCATCTTGGATGGTACACACACACAGCCCTGCGTATTTCGAACATCGAATACATTGCAGTTAGCGCTCTAGTATTCTTATACCTCTATGGGCCCGCCACAGTATAAGTAACACGCAAGAGGGCGCCTCAGTCTCAGACCAAGACGCAAGAAAACGTGATTCGGCGAATCCAAAATGGCCGCGCCCGTGTCAACAACGCAGTAAAGTTAGGAAGGCAAAAAACGATTACTTGTGGTGAGGTTTAGGTCCAAAATTTTTTGGTTGTCCCACGGACAAGTTGCCCTATAGCTCTGGTTGTCCGTGGAACATTTTGGTTGGCTGGGACAAGCAGACAAGCCTTATTTCGAACACAGGTAAAGAATAATTTTTATTTTAAATGCCCTTTAGCAATTAGATTTAATTGTCTTCATTTTGCAGTGCTCTTCTTTATTACTTAATATTAATATTATAATATACAATAAAATGAAAAAAAAATTAGAAACATGTCCCTAATAATATTTTTATAACTGTATTAAATTTTCATTAAGAAATAAGTTTATATAGGCTGCATACTTCTAAACAATATTAATATTGAAAACTAGAAACAAAAATAAAAACTATAATTGATGTCATTTTATATTTCCATCTAGGCCCATTTTAATAAATTATTTTTCATTTAATTGACATACCGTAAATTGTTGTCAGCTACTACAGCCTGAAGCACAATAGAGTACCATTCTTTGTTGGCAAAATCATTAGGGGCTATTATTTGAATGTGGGTTTCATCAATGGCCCCTGCACATTGGGGAAAACCATGTTGCTGCCTAAAACACAGTTTCTGTCAATTTTTGACCTTGTGGCCAAAATATATATTCTGCTTGAAGTTCTTGCACAATTGCCCTACAAACTTGATGAACTACAACACAAACACTTGATTGTACAATCCCAAACAGATTACAGGGTTTGTACGCATCCTTAAATTCCTTGAATGTCCTGGAAGAACAAATGAGCATTTTCCAGTAATGGAAAGTCCTGGAAATTTCAGATTGTCCTTAAATGTCCTGGAAATTTGATCATTTACCATTATTTGCAGTACTACAAGTGTCCTAGTAACAGTAAACTGAATGAGAAACGTTCCCACCCACAAGTAGGTTCCCACAATACTCTCGAGAGAATCAGTTCTTTGTCTTTGTACGCCGCCAATTCAGGAATGTTATCCAAGACAGAAAGAATGTCATTGCTGAAAATGGCGGACTGGCTGGTTCAGACAAACTTATGCGATTCAGTGAATGGAGTTGTTCACCTATGTTTTAGTAAAAGGTGGTGCTTTTTTAAAATCTTGTATATTAATTATGTTTGCATTTAATTTTAATTCAAACATTGATAATCATAATTGTTAATTTTGTTGACATCTGCTATGGTGTAATTTGCTTTCTGTCGTGTGTTATAAACAGTACTGGAATATTAAACTTTCAATCAGTTGAACAGGTCTTGTCGCACATGCTCAGCCCGGTTAATTCGTTTTGGGAAATTCATCACTCTCCAGCCGTGCACACTTGTTCAGCACGAATGGGCATGTTTTGGCCCTATCCAGCGCAAGGCAGTTAATTAACGCTTTCGTGTACGCCTAGTGCTGGGAACGCACCAAGCAACGTTCACGATTCGTGAACTTGGCCCTGGTCTGACGCCGTGCTTTCAACACTCTTCTTGGCAGCAAACTGCCCAAAAAAGAGGAGCAGTCCAAAAACCATTCAAAATGATCAGGAGTGACCGTAGTCGCCCAGAGAACGTTAGCCCTCCGGGCTGCACCGGCAGCTTGGGCAATACAACTGAACTGATCTGTTCATCCCCTCCTTTTCGCTGCTTTTTGTCTTGTTTTTGAATTGTTCTTGTATTTTTGCAGTGATGAAGTGTAATAAATAAATGATCAGAAATAATGCCAATACCTGCCCAAAGGTGTGCAATGGCATCAGGGACAAGAGTTGGGCTCGCGTCGGCATCAAACAAGAAGGAAAAAGCAAAACCAGCCCCATTCACGGTGCGAATGCACTCCCAAGCCGCGCGGTCCACAAAGGACAAAGCCTCAAAGGACAAAGCCTCAAAGGACAAAACAAAGTCTTAGACGTAAACGAAAGCTTCCGATCTTCCTGCAATCTGCCCTTGGCAGCGCCTGAATATACTGCTTGAAATGTTGCTTGGGGACTGTTATTCAATAGTTATAAGATAGAAAATGCCTATAGCAGGGAACATCGAAATTACACTTTTGAAATAACTCAGTTCAACAGGTTTTGGTAGTGAATAATATATATGCCTCTTTGTAAATTTCATCTAGGATGACATTGGAGAGTTTGAGATGATTCTTAATTGCCTTTCTAGATCATGGAGTGTGGACCATATTATTCAACTGGGAGGGTTGCCTTTGATCTAGAAGTGGCACCATTGGCACGTGCACTATAAAGAACCCAGTACATCTTTCAAGACGGGTAAGGGGTTACCCGGGTGTACTGGATGCACAGAGCAGCTGTTCATTGAGGCTGACATATTACCCCATTACATATTGTCTGGTACCTGTTCCAAGTGAATACCTGAATATGAGAAGGGCCGAAGTCCACAGCATTATATTTTTAGAAAATAAGAAAAAAAATCATATCTTGCTGAATTATAAATTGATGGTATGCTTGCTTATATGACAACTCATGTATTCATATCTAAATGTAAAATAGTATAGTACATGATTATACGCACTTCAGTTGCGCAGTGAGGACGCAATTAATACGATGGATTTGGGCCCTTTTTATATTCATACTGTAGGAAAAGATTGGTTTTTTGAGTTTTTATCCTATTTACCTTGTTTTCAGTTAAAATTTTATGCAAGCACTTTATTATTGAAAATATACACAAAGACATTGTTAGTTCAACCTAATTAACTGTCTATCTACACATATTTTACATTAGCCGAGAGCATTCTTGGTTAGCGTTGCAATATTTTAGTTCTCATAATCAGAGTTGTCCTCGTCGTCATTTAGATTGTCTGTTGTCACTAGTTCATCTATGAGGTGCTGGGTTGCTTCACTCAAATATTTTTTAGTTTCACAACATCATTCTTTTTAGCTTGTTTAACAGGTATTGGCGATGTGTAACACTGTCTAGTGGGCAGGGTGGGTGTGTTATTGGGCTTTAGTAAAGCGAATTGGAGGTGATTCAATCCCATCATGGCTCTTGTTACTTCAACTTCATTTGCATGTGCCTTGTTGAAGCAAAACTGCTTGTATTCAGATACAAGGTAACGCTCATCGTTTCGCTTGCTCGATTTTTTGAAGTATTTCACTAGATGACGACAGAAATCCTGGATTAGACCTTGATCCACACGTTCTTCTTCAAAGTTCTCCCGAACTATATAAAATCCATCCATCATACCATTCCATTCTCTCTCTCATCCTCCTCTTCTTTTCAATAGTTGCAAAGTGCCTGGCACATGGCAAGAAATTATTCCCCCTTATCGGCAAGTGGTGCTCTATCTCGTCAAGGTAAGGAAGCATTGTCTCCCAGGATGAAATAAAGGGATTTCCTGGTTCTGGTCATTGTTGTAGGGCATGGTGGTGGCTTGCTGATGGCAATATGGTTCTCGTCCAGAGCTCCCCTAGCATGAGGCACATTCCACTTCTCTTCAAACGCCTGGGCAAGGGCTCTCCACTCATCAAGTGTCACAGGAATGGCGAACTCTTCATTCCTGTAGGCAATATGGCAGATGGCTGCTCTAGGCTACATATATGCATAAAACCATAGTATTAATCTTTTATTGCTGGCTCTTTGCAGTAAACATTACCTATCAAATGTATGTATAGATAGCTTATAGATTGGTCTACGTGATGCAATGAATCAAGTATCAAATTACATCTTGTTAAGCTTAGAAGGGCTCTGATTGGTTAAGAACTAAAACAACTTTGCCTCAAAAGTAGTAGATTTTTCACCATCACACCCACTCTATGCATACACATAAGGACTATACGTAGGATCCTATATAGCCTGGGTTCACTCTAACTTTCATTTTTGTTTAGACAATTGGCTAAAGCTAAAAAAAAAAAGAATTTAGCCAATTGGATATTTGTTTAGCCAAAATTGGCTAAAATGTTAAAAATTGTTTTAGCCACAGGGTTCTCCCCAGGATTTTTTTAAGCTGTAATGGCAAATGCGTAACTCAAAGTTTTACGGTGCTTAACGCGTCGGTTACGCATACATTGCTTAACGCGTCGGTTACGCGTACGTTGCTTAAAACGTTGGTTACACATCGTTTTATGCGCAGTTTTATGCACCAAAGGGTGTTTGACATGCTGCCTTAAAAAAAAACACATGAACACAATGAACCACAACAAAGACACTCATAACTTTTTAAAAATTGATTTTAATTCAGTCTTAAAATCTTTTGAAATGCTTGGGAAGTTTATGCGCTTAAAGAATCATATTCAAAACATTTATACTGGGCATTCAGAGCACTTCCCACATTGCTTACATCCTCCCATACAGGAAAAAAATAGGAAGAAATGGCGAAAGAAACCAGTTATAAAATATAAGCTTATAGCAGAGGTAATCTAGTTGTGTAGCAGTGGGAAGATAGACCCACAACTATCCATTCCACAACTCAGTTCTCCACCACCACCTGTTCGTTGTTCGTTCAGCATTTAGCATACCAGAGAAAGATGTAGCAATAGCTAAACATCTTTCAAGATTTAGCAGTCTCATGTAAACAAGAATCTCAAACCAAAAGGCTCTTTTCAGAGCCATTATTTAACAAAAGAGAAGCAGTTGTATAGTCTGCGTTTTTTTAATTTTTATTTCATTTAATTTGTTCACTCACATACACATACATAATACTGTACAACAAAAAAAAAAACTTAATAGTAAAAGAAATAAGAACATAATAAGTGTATAGACATTAAGAGGCCAAAATAAGTTTAGAATCAAACTTTAAGCCGTGACCACCAGTTAAAATTATGTTAGGCATACATCAATAAAATATTATAAATACAATTTAATAATAAATAAATAATAAAGTTGAATTAAGGCAGTGTGTCAATTATTCATTAATTTGACCATAATGTCAATTTTACAAACAAGCACATAGCAATTATGACACTACACACTACAGTAATTATTCGTAGAAGTCTAATGAAGATAAGCCTATCCAATAGTGACGTTAAAGGGTCGAAACCAGGACATAACTCCGACTTTAGATTGACAATCATTGAAAAATGTTAAATACAGGCACAATGTATACATCCTATGTACAGAGTCCAGTTAGAATGTGTAATTATGTATCAAATTGATATATTATTATTACTGTACTATATCATATACATACAAATATATATTTGTATATTTTCTTATAAGTCATATAATTCAGCTTGTCAGACGGTCTTTAAGGCACAATGCTACACCACCTTCGTTAGACCCACTCTTAAATATGCCTCTGCGCTTTGGCTCCTCACACACAAGTCAATATCAATATACCTGTATATATACAGTATACACTTTTGTATTAACAAAATAACATTATTTAATTCAAGATTTGAAAAGGATGACATTTATCAATGATGTTTTAAGAATTCCGCATGAAGGGCGATGCAAAAATGGATTCATATTTGATGGAATCGAGGCATTTTGTATGTTTTTTTTTATCGTTTTGCGTATCATGTTGATATACAGACATGGTTCGGTCATAACAGAGTTGTTTTTGGCAACGTGCAAAATCGTGCACATATTATTTATGACAATTGTAACCATCTTTTGGAAACTCTCCAACAGCCATGACTTGCTCCAGATAAGCTTCAAGAATTTTGTAATGTTATTCAAACTAAGGGCGCACCACTCAACAACTGTTGGGGGGGGGGGGTTCATAGATGAGACCGTTCAACCCATTTGTAGACCTGTACAGTCGCAAAGAATATGTAAAATGGACATAAAAGAATTCATGGTAATAAATTTCAGTCTGTTGTCGCTCCGAATGGATTAATCGCAAACCTCGGCTCTTCGAATTATATTTGTAGCTAAAAATATTTGAATTGAGCATCTGTTTTACTAAATCATTGTCCATTTCTTTATCCCATCTAAATAAGAAAAAAATAAATTTAAATTCATTGAAAATTATTATAAATGGCATTTGTTGATAAAGTTTACTCAAGAATGAAGTTCCATTATTGCATTAATCAACATGACATTACATACATTTGATGTGAGGGGCTTAGTATTTGAGGTCATCATAATAGTACTCATTTTAAAGAGATACATTAAGTCCTCATTTTATTAGTAGAAAAAAAGAAATAAAAAATTAAGATGTTTTTTATGGTGCAAAGTAACAAAAACTTTAATAGGTTTGAGTTAAATATTGGCAGTGGTATTGAAGGAATATATACGGTAATATTTGTTCATTTACATTGACATATCACTAATACCTTTTGATCTTTTTTCTTGCTGATTCTTGATCTGATGTGGTCAATGGTGCTACTGAAATTAATAAAATTATATATTGATTGAAATATTATTTGTATTTATTATTTTATATTATTATTTTTATTACTATTAATAATATTTGGTTATTTTATTATTTTTGTTATTTATTATTAATATAATAATTTATTATTATTATTATTATTATTATTATTATTATTATTATTATTATTATCTGAGTTTATTACAAACAAGTAGTTTTGCCTGTCATGGTGACCGTATTCTAAGACAAGATCAATAAGATTATGGAAAACTTACCAGTACAAATTGGCCTATCTGGAACATGTGCAACAATGGTGTTTGTTGTCCATCTGAAACAGATACAGTGTGTACAAAACTGGTTAAAAAGATAGACCCAAAATCTGTGTAAAATTCCGTGAAGTTATTAACAAAAAAGAAAAAGAAACCTCAAAAAAAAACCAACACCCAAAAAAGGAACAAACCTAGGCCTCAGGCCTCTATAAAATACATAGACCTAAATAAAACAGCACATTATTAAATACAGTACTAAAATCCAATTTAACAAAAAAGTAGTAATAGAGATAGGCCTTAACTTACATGCAAAAAGCTGCTGGATTGAGCTGACAGAAGTTGCAGTTGTGGTGCCAGTGGGTAGATTGAATGTTACTCTGAAAAAGTAAAATCAATGAATATTTAATAACTTAGTTACGGTTTGTCAAATATAGGCCTATCATATACCTACACAGAACTGCTTTAAAGCATAGCTGAGTTTGATCCAATCCACTTATAAACATGTGTTAAATATTACAATTATATAATATTATTTATTGTAGCCAACCAGCATAAACAATTTAAAAGAAACTAGAAATAATGAAAGTTTTGCTGTATTCATTATCATTTATCAGCAAGTACTGTTCTGTTATTTTCTTCTTTTCATATTACAATACACAATAAATATTGGATAATACTGTAGTATATTTTTTTAAAATTCAGACATTCTAAATTATAGTAGTAGTAATTTATTTATGATTTTGTTCTGCAGAAAATTCCATTGGATCGCATATCAGCAGTTTACATACTATATATAACAGCATTTGGGAAAGAAGGTACGGAAAGTAATTCCATCATGTGTAGTCAATGCAATAAGAAGAAAATACCCAGAAGCAGATGGCAACTATGTTGAAAAGAAAAAAAAAAAGAAAAGAATTTCACTGTTTTTCAATATATACACAAATAATTATGCAGTATTTACAATGTCTATGCAGATAAATATTACCAAGGTACTTGATTATTACAGTACAGATATTATTCTCCTGAAGACGATTGAAGCATCTCAATCGAAACGTCGAGACTTTCTCAACAACAGCTCTTTTCAGAACTACTTACACGGTGTACCGCAAGCTTCAACATATATATTGATAATTATCGTCGTCAAGTATTGTAACACTGAACTCAATATATTTAATACATTGTTACTGTATTAGATATATTAAAAATATACAGATTATCATGGTACTCAATATTCACCCTTGTCAAATATTGTAACACTGAACTCAAATCTTAATTCAATAACAATTAAAAATATTCACCCTTGCGAAGTATTGTAACAATTAAAAATATTCACCCTTGCGAAGTATTGTAACACTGAACTCAAAGCATAATAATAATTAAAAATATACAGATTATTACAACGGTACTCAATATTTACTGTTGTGAAATATTGTAACACTGAACTCAAATCATAAAAACAATTTTAATACCCAGTATTATCTGGAATACAAAACCTAAAAACAAACACACTAAACATTTGTTGTTAAAACATCTGCATTGGCGGAAAATAATACAGTATTATATATAAAATATAAATTACCAAATAATCAGTGCTCAATTTAATCATGAAGCCATTGAATATTATTATTACGCATAATAAATGTATATTACCACAATTTTATTATAGTGGTATTTTTAAGCTCAATGTTTGTTCGTAAATCTACTCTTGTGCTTTGAAATGGCCAAATTTCTGTCTGGTCGCGGCGTTGGTGCTAAGGTAGCAGTCAATAGTGGTGGCAGGGTGCATGGAATAGGAGCTTCACCTTCGCTCTTCATATGAATAACTTTTTCCATTAAGGTTTCCACAAAACTATAAGACTTCTTCTCATACACCTTACGGACATCCCAACTCTTGGTGACCTTTGAATAGGCCTGTCTAAACATGTAAGAACCTTTGTTGGGACCTTTGGTAGCTATGGCCTGCTCTCTGCTGACATTTACATTATGGTCAATTGCGGCGAGTTGTGTTCTGGCGAGCATACTTCTGTATGGAAAATGTAGCCGCTTTGGACAATATTTCAACATCATGGAGTGGTAACTTTCTAGGTTGCCAGTGTGACAGAATTGTGTCAGATGTGGAAGTGTATCTAATAGGCTTTTATCCATTACTACACTTTCCAAGTCATGGAGGCCCTTGAATTTGGACTAAGCCACTTTTTCCTTTCTGCTTCTTCTGGTGAGTAAGAAGAATGTCCACATGTTTTGACTTCACCATCTTCCTCCCATTCATGAACGTTAACAACATGATTTAAAAGTGACTGCCACCTTTCTCTCAATATAATTGCACTTCCAGTGCAGGTTTTCGAACAGTACTAAAGATGGTTTACCACACAAGGTATCCAACCATGTAACTCTTCTGATGATTTGCGTTTGGCTTTCTCAGCTATTATTTTTCTCAGATTTTTGCCCACATGCCAGACATTAGCCCATGTTGCAGAAGACGTTTTAAGACATGAACAAAACCCTCCTTTTCCATAGCTACTGAGTTTTTAACTTCTGTTGTTTGTACAAGTTCAAAATCTAGAATTATGCCGGTCTCCTGCTCCATTAATGTGTATATTCCATATTTGGCACAAAACCCAGGAGAGTCACAATGCGCATCACATGATAATTTCAGGGTTTTATCCTGGCATTCTGTTAGTATTGCCTTCTTCATGTCAACCCAATGACTGTCGATTACAGGAAACAAGTAACGATTTTGCAGTTGATGGAAGGTGACCTTCCAATCATTTGCAAGTTCAAAGTCCTACAAAGGTTGTGAATTGCTGTTAATGTGTCTCCACTAAGGAGTATTGATGCTGCAGACAGCAGATTACCAGCAGTCATGCTTCCTATCATTGGCTGTGAGCTCCATGTCCATTCATGTCCATTGATACACTGAAGCTTTACTTTTAATGCAGTTCCTTGAATGAATTTATGCATAGAATCTACACAGCACTGGCATTCACCGCATAACGTGCGCATAAGGAGGTTATCGAGGCTGGATTCGAATACAATGACCTTATCTTTTGCAATGTTGTTAGTCGGCTTATTTTGAATATACTCCTCATCACTATCCTCAGATGAAAATTCACTCTCTGGTTGGTAATTGTAATCCTTAGCACTTTCTCCTTCCTCTTCTTCGCTAGTTGTCAGATGACTGTTGGTCCAGTGGTTTAACAGGTGATTGCATCTCAAAATTACTTGTGTAATTGTGATCATGATCCACAAAAGTTGAATCTGCCAAGTTCTGTGTCATGCTGGTACAGGTACATAATAAATAAGTTACTGCATCCTTACCTTGGAGGATACGTCAAGCTGATTGATTCTGGAATCTACATTGTTTGGCCTAATGAAGTAAATAAATGAGGATGAATTTTTATTTGGTTGGTGCTATTTATGTATGTCTGCATTTTTTATATGTCCTGTTTATTTTGAATAGGAGCTTACCTATTATTTTGCTGCTTACCTGTTGACCAATTTTCTGAAAAACGCTTCTGTAATTAAGTAAAAAAAAAGTTAATGTAACGGAATTTCAAAAGTAGTAATTGCCATGTGCAGACATAATTTTTTCTGTTAAGTAGCTTTGTTCAAATTTCCGTAGTAATAATAAATTGTTGACTCGCCTTTCGTGGATTGGGCCGGAGGTTGTGCTGTTTAGGCTCCACGGAGGTTTAATGCATTCCGGTGATTCCGGTAACCTAGGTAGGTGGTTGGTAGGGTTACTTCACTTGGGTGGCAAATTTTCCTGGTCAGTGTGGATGACACTTATTGTATCCTGCACTGCAACATCCATGCTGCAGCTGTTAATACAATTTGATCCCCCCAAGTTCCAGGGATTTTGATGTTGGCAATGAAGGTCTCCCAACCCACACCCATATCTTCGAGGTCTGCACTCACCTTTTCCTGAAGAATAGATAATGGTGAAGATAATAATAATATTATTAATAATGATAATGATAACAATAGTAATAACAATAATAATAATAATAATAATAATATTAAACAAAATTTTTTTTTTTTTTTCGTTGAGCATTCACAACGGTTTCATGCAGACTAGTTGACCCGTTTCTGAAGAAGTAGAAACAATGCGACCTACCGATTCCGATGTCTGAAGCAAAAAATCTGATGGAAACGTTAACTAGCGTGTGCATGAACCGACGCTATCGATTCGCTCCAATAAATTCGCCTATTGAAAAACCGGATTTACTGTAAAGATAATTCGAGATCAATTTGGTGAATAGATTTATGGCAAATACAATACTGTGAACGTAAACCAGGCACAAATTGAGATGTCAAATCCAAAAAATGTATTTCGTTTAAGCATATCAAATACTGTACATTTGTAATATTGTTGTTTATTCTGGTTGTTTGTGTAGTTTGAAGCTGAATCTAACCTGCCAGTGTATTTTGTGTATCTCCAAAAGTTCCACTATTGCTTGTCTCAGATCTAAGTTTTTTTTTGTCTTTCGTGGGTGTAGCCCACCTTTATTCTCTCTTTTTTCAATGTTTTAATTTTTTTCACTAACTCTTGTTAAGGTTTAATAAACATTATGTTCAGGATTTACATGAAAGTAAAGCAAAAACAAATAATAAAAACTTCACGTGTCTACCAATCTTCCATTCATTTGGAATAGCATTTATGAGGGAAATATATTCGATGAGCCCATTTGTTTTTTTGGAAAGTGTAGGAATTATTTCACATGGCGTTAATATTCTATTATCAATCATAATGTCATTTATTAATTTATACCCAGCTTCTACCCAAGCTTTAAAATACAATGATTTTCCGCCTAAAGTGATAAATTTATTTTCCCATAATTGTTGATTCTTAATTTCTTGTAAATTTTTTGGATTTAAACTGACAATGCTATTTAACTTTACAACAGATTTCAACATTTCTGTATAAAATTCAGGCATAATTGTAAGGTTAACATGTTCATTAAAATTTAACTTGCTTACATTTACCATGTATTCTATCGGGTGCATATAATAATTAGGAATACATTTCCATTTGCCAGGGTCCGGACTTAGAAGTCGTTTAACCCAATTCAATTTTAAAGAGTGGACCATTGATTGAAAATCGATCATTCTTAATTCGCCCAATTCTAAACTTTGTATAAGAGTCATTCTTTTTATCTTTTCTCTCTTAGCACCCCATAAAAATCTGTATAATATCTTATCTACTTTAGAAAAAACATGTGCTGGTACATTTATTATACTGGCGTTATATACCAGTTTCGAAATGGCTAGAGTTTTTATCACGGCTATTTTACCAAAAAACGATAAGTATCTTTTTTCCCATAATTTTAATGTATTTTCTAAATCAATAATTTTTTCATCCCAGTTCTTTCTTTCACACGCTTTCTGATTATATCCAACGTATATCCCCAGAAACCTGACTGGTTCTTTCGTCCAAACGATATTCAATGGATTGGACATTATTTTTTAAAGCACCTATCCACATACCCTTTGTTTTATTTTTGTTTAACTTTAAACCTGAAATTTTACAAAATGTTTCAATCTCACTAAAAAAATAATTCAAACTATATTCATCTTGTGTAAAGATGACAGTATCATCTGCCAGTTGTGCTATTTTTACAATATTTTCGTTATTTTCAATCTTAGGCAAAACAATGCCTTTGCACATGGGATTGGCTCTTATATTTACGGCCATGACTCAGATCTAAGTTTGTTAAATCACTCCATTGAAGGTAAAGATTAGCCTGGTGTGCCAACGCATGATATAGGCAATTGCCATCACCAGGTGTGGCTGGTACCGTAAACTGCAATCCACATTCATGTAGTTTTTTTCTAAGCGCTTCTGTTTGATTGCAGTTCTCATCAGCATCTTTTCTAGATTCATGAATGGTATCCATAACATTAAGCGTTTCAGCTACATATGCTAAAAGGAGAATTAAGTTTGAGTCATTTAGTGTTTCATACACTTTATGGCATCAACTAAACAATTTTTATTTCATACCTTAATCCTCTTTATTATATATTATGCAAGAAATAAAAAATCGTTTTAATCATGACACATTTTGAAAACTGAAAAAAAAATAAGTGAAGGAAATACAAATGAGATAATCATTATTAGAAACTGTAATATTCTATTATTTGCAATCGAACAATATAATGCATAAAATACGATTTTAATCAACTTAAAGAAAAGTGCTCTGTCATGGAAATGCGAGTTTTAGCTGATAAACGTACCTTTAAATACCTTACAGGGGACTGGAAATAGCGAAGGTTGTCTAAAAATACGCACCAAACCGTAATCTCGAACAATGCATAAAATACAACTGTAATCTATTTTTTTTTAAGTGCTCTCTCGCAAAATTGCAGCTAAGTATACCTTTAAATACCTCACAGGGGACTGGAAATGACTAACATGGTCTGGAAATACCTAGCTAACCGTAATATCGAACACTATAATGCATAAAATACGATTTTAATCTACTTACAGAAGAAGTGCTCTCTCGTGGAAATGCAACTTTTATCTGCTAAACGTACCTTTAAATACCCCACAGGTGACTGGAAATGGTTAATGTGATCTCAAAATACCTACCTAAGCGTAATATTGAACAATATAACACATAAAATACGACTGTAAGCTATTTAAAGAAAAGGTGCTCTCTCACGGAAATGCTACTGCTAAACGTACCTTTAAAAACCTCACGGGGGACTGAAAATGGTTAATGTGATCTCAAAATACCTACTTAACCGTAATATCGAACAATATAACATGTAAAATACGACTGTAATCTATTTAAAGAAAAAGTGCTCTCTCGCGGAAATGCTACTAACTGTACCTTTAAATACCTTTCAGGGGACTGGAAATGGTTAATATGGTTTCAACATACCTACCTAACCGTAATGTTTAAAAACATAATGCATAAAATACAATTTTAATTTATTTAAAGAAAAAGTGCTCTCTTGTGGAAATGCTTTTAACTGTTAAACGTACCTTTAAATATCTCACAGGGGATGGTTAGTATGGTCTGAAAATACCTACCTAACCGTAATGTCGAAAAATATAATGCATAAAATACAATTTTAATGTATTTAAAGAAAAAGTGCTCTCTTGTGGAAATGCTACTAACTGTACCTTTAAATACGCTACATCAGACTGGAAATAACTAACATGGTCTGGAAATACCTACCTAAAGCTGGCGTCACACAGTCAGATTTGTACAAAATTGTAATTGTTTGATATATAACTTGTCAGCCCATAAGAATTTTAGGGACAATCTCTATTAAGACCAAGTAAAATTAGGCCACTTGATATGCCAACACCCAGACGTTTTTAGTTTTTGTTCAATATGGATGTAAATTTGTTAGTTACTGTGGTCAGTCTTGTATATTTGGTAAATGAAATGGAAAAGAAAGAGAAAGTTAAGAGATTGAAAAAAAAAATGTTGAACTTTACCATTTTTGTATTGCTATAATTCTTGATATATCGGAATACACCTGTGTACACTGATAGAATTTTGCTTGATATGATCATTAAGATGACAGTTTGAAAACTTCTTTCCTACAAGTAATTCATAATTGTGCATGTCTACAGTACTGTACAGTATGTAGAAGGTGAATTCACATAACTGAACAGATGGCGTTTACAGTAAGACCAATTTTTAAAAAATATTTAACATTTTTTATAAATTTTAAATGAGTAAATTTTCTGTACGATTCTAGTTGAAACGGTACTGGGTTTGGTGTACAGGAGCCTATGCTTTGTACAGTACAGGTCATTCCATTTGTGTCATTAGCCATAGATTGTAGCCTAGTTCAATACATAACACCAGCTGTATATAATTGATTATAAGATTGAACATTTTTTTTTATATTGTAGTAAATACTATAATATCCATGTTTAAATTATTGTTATAAACATAGTTAATGTATACTATATGTAAATTTATATTATAAAATATTGTTTAAACAGAATACTGCTGTATGTTTACTGTACAGTATGTTTCAACTAAAAATATCTGCCAATTAATAACTCAGTAGTATAATAGTACTACTGTAGTAACTAGTAAAAGATTTATTACAATAATAATTTTACATCTGATGATGGTATGAATGTGTTAAAGCTTTAAAAAAGAAAAAAATATTTGTAAAATATTTTTAATAATTTAAGCTGACTGTGTTGTGTATGCAAATAGGCCTACTGAATTTTCTCTGTTCAACTTAGGCCAAAAAAAAAAACTTGTGTTGGCCACATTTTGGAAAAATCCAAAAAATGAGTAGGTCGGTGGGGAAAGTTTTTTTTTCATAAATAATGTTTATGCCTAAAAAGAGGAAACACAAAAAATCAACAAAGACCATTTTAAAATCCATTGAAGTGCAAAATGATTGCATTAAAATGTCGCATTGCAAACCGTCGCGAGGATGGGCATACAGTATTCTAGCCTTTTCAGCACATTAAAAAAATATATTGGTCAAAAAATAAATAAAATGCCAGCCCTCAATTTAAAATATTTTAGGTCGGTT